TTAAAACATATATAGCATATATCTATATATGTATATGTATATCTATATCTATTTCTATTTCTATATAAAGCATAATTCCTCCTTCCCCTAAGGAACTTAAAATACACTGGTTACAATACCTTGCATGTAGCTATTTGAGAGTATGGCACAAACAGGCACGAAGTACCCAAGAATTAAAGGAAGGAAAAGAAAACCCTGCAGATAGAGGGTTACATAGAAAAGGCTCTCACTGGTCCATGAGACCAGGATTTCCCACTTCAAGACTTTCCTCTAGAAGAGCAGTGAGGCTCCTTTGGGGGAGAACCACCAGCTCTCTTGCATGGCCATGGCAGTTGCCTTTAACCACTCTGCTCTCCCAGCATCCCTGCAGTGACTCCCAATGATGCTCCAAATGAGCCTCGGGAACTTCTCTGAAGCCCTTTGTAAGCACAGCACCCTAAGGGTGAGGTTGCAAGCTCCGTCATCAGCAAAGGCTGGGATTCCCTTTCAGCTTTCTCATGTAATGGTTGTGGTCTTCTCTTCATCCATTCCTCCCACCTGCATCTTCTTGCCTATATCACCTGTGCTGGAGATCCCAGCTTTCACCAGGTCCTGCACACAGATGTTGTGTAGAACACGAGTCTTGTGAAGGATCCTTAGCTGTCATCCTCTCAGTCACCCAGTACATATCTATGCTTAGTCTCTTTTCTGTTGTATGAAGGCCCTTCTGTATTAACTCCATACTTTCCAAATTCCTCTTCATCCTACATGCCTCCTCTCTGACAGAACCTACTAAGCCTTCCCTGACAATTTATAAGAGAACAAGGGCTTCTCCCCTAAGCTCTGGCTGCAATTCACATACAGGTAGCAGAAATGAATAAGGCCTAAGACAACAGAGGGTAGTATGGTCGATGGCTTAAGACAACGACAATGGAAACCCCTTTATTAACTAAAACATCAACCCCTCTTTGCTACTGACACTCCCTCTGCCTACTACCTAGTAGACTGGGTCTCAATATTGCCAATTTGTCCATGTTTCCAAAGACAAAACTCTTTACCTAAAGATTTCCTGTTGATCATTGTTGGACATTAAAAAAAATAAGCAAACAGACAAAAAAGACCAACCCGAATTCTTTCACTTTGAACCAAATTTAAAAAATGAAGGGCCTGAATGACTAGATGTATAGACCTTGACTCTATTTTTGTGTGTGAGTTTCTTTTATGTATACGTATATGTATATGTATTAATCAAATCATAATTTTTACTTATTCACACAGGGGTTATAACCACAAAAAGGCAGGATGTTGGGAAGGGGATGACACCAGAGCATGGGTGTTCAGGGGGAGACTCTTGAAATACTTAATTCTGGACTTTCTCAAAGATGTGTGGTCCCATCCTGATAGGATTCCTCTCCCTTAGAGTTGTCTGTACACTACTTCCCTGATACACTCTGCCCCTTAAGGACCATGGTCACATGGGTAGTCTTTTCTATCCCCTGAGTACACAGCACAATGTGGACCTCAAGAAGCAGGCTGTAAGCCAGGAGTGGTGGTGCACACCTTTAGTCCCAGCACTGATAGGCAGAGGCAGGCAGGTCTCCAAGAGTTCAAGACCAGCACGGAATGTATGGCAAATTCCAAGCTGCATAATGAGATGTTTTCTTTTAAAAATAAACTTATACAAAGAAAATAAATAGAAACAGCTCACAAAGTCCCATATCTGTGTTCTCCCAAGCTATGAGGCTGTGGTAGGTTCTGCAAATGACTCCAGATACAACAAAGAATTAAAAGGTTCATGTTCTAAATGATCCTATTTCTCAGGACACTTTATAAAATCTAAAAAGTCTATAGATATTGTCAAAATTCAGTCAATATCTGACTTCCTTAGAACCAATAGGATCTTTTCACACGAGGATTGCAAAGCCCCCAATGTGGTTAGCAACCTGGAAATCTAACCCATAGACCCTGTGTAGCTCTGAGCCTAATCTATACCTGGCATGGAAGTGACTAGCCGAGTGGTTTTAAATTTCACCTAAAAGAGTCCCACAGGTCAGATGCAACAGTACCTTTATTTTGTTGGAAGTTGACTATAGCACACACCACAAACATGGAAGGAAATGCCCTGTCTCCAAAGCCACGAAAAAGGGTAGAAATAAGGATGCCAGAGCCTGGGGAAGCAGACCGTCCACAGGCAACAATGATGCTGGACCATAGTTATGCATTTTTCATGCTCATGACCTCTGGTCCAGTATTTCAGCTTGAGGGCACTCAGCCCAAGGAGTACCAATGCCTAAATGTTCAGCTCTGAAAGTATTCTCACAGTTGTGTTTTAACATGTTGGAAATAGAAGGGCTGTTGATAGAGAACCGGTTTGTGATTATTAACAATGGTTATGGGTCAGGTCACCCAGCACACTGGCACCAAGGCAGGAGAATCAGGAGTGTAAGGTCACCCTCTGCTATATGGCAAGTTTAAGTCTAGGAACCTTAAGATTCCTTGTGATTTACCATTTTACAGACAAAAATACTGAGATGAGTAGTGTTTGTCTTTCGAATCACACAGCAAAGGAGACAAGGAAGGGCCTGTGAACTCAGTGTTATTCCACACCAGAGCTCAAGCTGCTCACATTAAGTGCAGGGCCCCTCCCACACAGCACTTGACCTACCACACTGAAAATTACAGTCTGGATAATCATATGATACACAGAAGAATTCTAGCATCGTATTCATTGCAAAAAGCAACCGTCTTGGGCAGGCATTGGCCGATGGAGGTATCAGGATCTTATAGACACTTCTCAAGGACAGAGTCAAGATCAGATGCAACGCCACCTGAGAAAAGTCACTGAAAACACTGGGGCCAGATGTAAGGAGTTCTTGCTCCTTTAACACTGACTTTTCCTCAGTGTCTCACAGTCTCTTTCATTCTCTCCTACAAACCACCTTCTCCAGCAAAGTTTTGAGTTCCCAGGCACAGTGACTAAGCCTACCTCAGTAAGATATTATAGGTCCAGTCTCAGATACCATCTGATTTAATCTCAAGGAAAGAACAGACACACACCCAACCAGGGCCAGATAGCTAGCCCTATTCCAATCAGCTGGGGCCTGGCACTGCCGTTCCATAGAACTGGTTCTACCAGCCAGCAAGTAGCACGGAAGAAAGTATTTTCCATCTAAATACTGCTGAGTTTTGTCTATAAAAATCATCATCTCAAGAGGGGCCCGCATCAAAGGATAGTAATGGTGCGTATAAATATAATTTTGCTCTTCTGTGTGTTCTAAATTCTCCACAGTAGATATATGTGGCTTTGTACTAAGAGAAAAGAAACCCAACCTCTGTGAGGATTAAAGGTGAATTCCACGCTGGTTGGTATTTAGAGACTAAAGGTCCAGATGAAAAGTGCTTTTAGTGGTGACTGGATAGAGGAAATGCTTACCAAAGATAGAACCTCACCTGAAAGTCCTGAGATTGGAGTAGGTCCTCTGAAGGAAGATGCCAAAGCTGAACCTGGAGGAGATGCTGGGCACTGTGCATACTGATGTCTTGTGATTGGCAGGCCACTAGCTGCTAGGTTAAGACAGACCAGAGCAGAGAGGAAAAGCATGAGACGTGGAAAACAAGACAGCATTCTAGAAGACAAGAGACAGGGGCCACTAAGGGGGAAAGCAAAATAAAAATAGATATTGCAAGCTGTGAGCTTGAGGAATGAGTCGTAAAAAGACTGGGAGCTGCTCACTGTTCTTCAGTAAGCAGGGAGAGAAACAGAAGGCTGGCCCTTCATACATATAAAGGACAGCCTCCACTTCAGAACATTCAGGGATCAGGAAGAGTTTTACAGCCAGAGCAGAATAATGTGCTCAAAACACAGAACAGCTGGCAGGAGCCAGGTTGAGGTGGGGCAGCAGAAGGCCAGGAACAAACAGCAAAGTTACTGCAAGCAAGAGCGCAGGCCTGAGCATGGCTGGCCAAAACACCCACTCTACATTTTAAAGATGTTAGCCACTGTGTCCCAGTGTCCTTCTATTGGCCTTTCAAGTCTCTCCAATGGTAGTAAGTGACCACAGGTCTCCCTTGTGGCTTTGGGCCTATGATTTCTACATATACAAAGTTTGGGAGTTTTTGTTTGTTGTATTTATTTATTTGTTTCAAGTGAGAGTTTTGCTATATGTGGCCCAGTCTGGCCTCAGTCTTAAAGATTCAACACACACACACAACACCACCACATCATGCACTGCTGAGATTATAGGTGTGTCCCACAACACACAGCTCTTCAAGGAATCCTTTCTTTAAGTGTATTCCTTAGATACATTCATCTGTTGCCCCATAGCCCTGGTCAGTGGATATTTTATTCTTTTCCATTAAACATACCCTTGACTACTTTCTTTCTTTGCAGAGGTGGTGCTTCTTGTATGTAGGGCAAGTGCTGTACTATTGGACTGCATTCCCAGTCCTTTACTGATTTTTTTTATAGCTTCAACTAGATACATGCTCTTAGAGGACTGGCACTGGGCCAGCTGACATCATGGCTTTGAGATGTTTACAGGTGCCATAACACTTTGAAACTCCAGAGACACATCTCTGTGCCTACCTCTTGAACCTGAACCGACCTTGTGAGTGGTGAACCAACCCAGTATGTGACTCAGCTACACCAAATGGATGAGTACATTTGTACCTTGTCTTGGGACATTCACTTTTTGACCCCTGAGCAGCTCCAAGAAGGAGAACATCGAGGTGGCCATGAGGCTCAGACTGCATGGAATGACCCTGCTCAGGCACCCCTCATCTGAGGGGGCAATAACTGCTGGCCAGCGTCAGGTACCAGATGAGCCAATGTAAGCCATATAAAAAGAAACCAGCCTGAACTATTTGCCAACCTCAATGTCAGAAAAGCCCCTGAGACCACCCAGCTCATCCCAGTTGACACTCTGAACCATGACTGGTTGTGATACAGTGAGGGTTATGTTTTTATATTAGTAAGTTTTAGGGCGACATGTTGTGCAGAAAGGTAATAGGACCAGACGTACTTGAGTCTCAATGAGGATTTATTAAGTTTGTTTCAATAGCAAAGGAAGGCAACATTGTTTCTACCTTTTTCTCCTTTTGGTCTTCTATTGTGTTTTGTTCTATCTATCTATCTATCTATCTATCTATCTATCTATCGATCATCTATCACCTATTCATCTATCATTTATATATGTATAGATCTAGATCTCTCTTCAAACATGTATAAAAGGCTGTGTGTTCACACACAACAAAATCCTATTTAAAAAAAATATATATATATATATATATATATAACTAACCGCCTTCCCCTGTTCTCTGCAGACTTTGTTCCTTCTCTCTGTAGTATCTTTGCATCTTCTGTGTACTTTTTAGGTCATAAAACTGGGAACAAGATACTCTACCCCATGATGCTCTTGGCTCTGAGGTCACCTCATCTGGAAGGCACTGTTATTTTTGGCCACCTTTAGCCAATGTTAAATCTTCTTGTCGATGTTCCACCCATCTGTGGCAGGAGCTCCCACTCCCTTCCCAGGGCAGTCCAGGAGGTCTGCCGATAGCAGCTGCATCAGGAGCCTGGGGAAGACAGCAAGCAGGGTGGTCAGAAGAGACATCGTGAACACACAGCTTCCAGCCATGCAGTGTAGGTGGTGAGGCAGAGACACTGTGGTCTGGAGACCTGCCTGGATCCAAGTAGGGGGTGACTCACACAACAGTGGCCAAGCAGCTGATAAACCATGGAGACCTTGGAACACACAGAAACTGGACCATCGGTTTTCCTCCATCTCCTGCATGGAGGGTGTCTGCTCCATCTATACTTCCTCTAAAGGCTGTGCCCGAGTTACGCTGAGATAAGCCTACATGGGCAACTGTCAGCAGACGCTTGCCCCTGTGTGAGGTAAGGACACAACATTCTGGATGAGCACGGACCTCAGTAGAGGGCATGAAGAAGCCACCCCAGGAACTGCAAACACGCGCCTAAAAAGACGTTCTGCAGGGCTGGCTGACTACTCTAGCAACAGGCAAAACCGTGTCACCTCGGGTCAAGGAGAAAGCCCTACAGCCCAAAAATAGCTGCCCTCTCCAGCTGCCAGAGCATCTAAAATTATACCATTGAAGATTTATTTCTTTGCGCACCTCACCTTGGTTGGGGGCAGATCTGGGAAGGGACCCACAAAACGTCTTCACATGAAGGTGCAAAAGGCCTGTCAGCCCCTCAGAGTTATTCAGGGCAGGGAAAGGAGGGAGGTGTTGAAAGGCCAGGAACCAGGCAGAGGAAGCGCTGGTGAGGGACAGTAAAGGGCAACCTCTCCTATTTCAGACTTTCACCCAGAAGGAGCCTGGCCGGCAACTACATCCTAAACCCAAGGGCCAAGCAATTTGCCAGTAAATTCGAACCATGCGTGTAAACAATCCTAATAATTTATTGAGATGCCTTTTAAATACATGATTATGTGGGGATGCTGTGTGACTTTATTTAGAATTGCTTCAGTAAGGGGGGGTGTGTGCATTAAGGAACTATTAGAGAGAATCATGACAGACTGCACAAGGAAATGGTATATACTTACCACATTGGAATGCTGTCCTGAGAAAGCTAAAGACAGGTAATTGGGTCAAAGTGTGGTTTCTAGGGAAGGATTCACTCAGAAATTCAGGCGAGGACTCAGCCTTTCCGTGTAGACGTCTGGATAACCTGACCCCAGATGACGAAGCATTAAACAAAATAAAAGCAAGTAATCACCTCCAGTCCACTGAAACGACGGGTAAGAACTCCACGTGATCCCATTTTTGAAATCCTTAAGAAACAGATCACAAGCTCAAGAAGATGCCCAAAGGTAGCTCTGAGGTTGGGCACTTCTAAGGCGCCATGGATGGGCTGTCAAGAGAGGCAGGGATAAGTTAGGGAACTGAGAAAGCAAGGAAGAGAAAAAAAGGAAGAATGAAAGACCAGATAGTTGCACAGCTGTGGGTGTGGCTTGCGGCACATGCCTGAAGTAAATCCTGTGGAAGAAGAGTTGCAACAATAACCAGATCTCTTAGCTGCCGGATGTAGCTTAGTTGGAAAAGTGTGTCTAGAATGCAGAAAGTCCTGGCTTCAACCGACTCCCAGCACAATATAAAGGGACATGGAGGTCCACAGAGGCAGATGCAGGGGAATCAGGAATTTAAGGTAATCCCCAGCTTTTTAATGAATTTAAGGTCAGCCTGGACTACTCAAGACCTTATCTAGAAACAAATCTTTAAATAAAACAAAGACCAAAGTTCTACAACATTTATACCATTTGTCAGTTTTTAAAGAACTTTCCAGGCCCCAGGGAGTAGGGAGGCCTGGCAGGATGGGGTGGGGTGGGAGACTGGGGAACCCTTTTGGAGATAGGGGAGGAGGAATGGGATGAGGAAGTGTCACAGGGCAGACAGAGAGAGGGATAACTACTGGACTATAAAAAATGATTAAAGATAAAGAAAAAAAAAAGAACTTCCAGATAATACTACTCAAAACCCCAAGGAAGAAGAAAACTTCCTTCCTATTTTTATGAAGAAGAATGCTTTGGGTAGGAGCAATAAGGTGACCTGCCCAAGGTCACCCAGCTGCTTAGAGAGAGCACCTTGTGTCTTGCAACTGGAATCTTTCCGGCTAAATCCTTTCCTTTGTCTATGCCAACACTCTTGGGAGTTAGGAGAAGCATTAGAGGCTTGTTCCTCCCAGACCTAGTGTGGCAATGTAACTAAAATGACCTTTCTTAATCCCGATTTGTTCACATACTCCACAAATAATACAGAGCCACAGTGACTTCTGGGATGTCACATAGATTACTAATAAGTGGCCCGGCCCACCTACACTCTTTTCAAAAAAACACTCTCTCACCCAAGGACCCTGAAATCACACAATGTTCAAGTCCTTTCTATTGCATGATATGGGACTTGATATAATTTATGCACATGCTTGCATACACGTTAATCATTTATAGATAGTTTGTAATACTTAATGCAATGTAAATGTTATGTAAATAATTATAGTGTTACAGATTTTAGAGAGGGGAAAACAGCAAGAGACCAGGCCAAGTCTGGTAGACTTTGAGGATGTAGAGGATGGATAGATCTTTTTTGACCCCGAAACGGGACCTTATAATTTACACACTATGTTACCGCCCATTTCCTCTCAAGAAAAGTCAGGTCCTTCTGAACAATGGCCTAGTCTTATTCAAAGCTGTCTCTCCAAAATTGAAACAGTTCCTACACAAATAGGTACTGGGTAAATATTTATCTAATAAATCACACTGAGTATCAAGGAAAGCTTTTGGGCCAATGCCTGCTCTGTGTCCCAGGTAGCCTAAAACCACTTAGTCAAATCATCTCACTTAATGACGATTATAAGTGACAAGACACAAAATAGTGAGAGAAGACAGCGTTGAGTAGTAGGTAAGGAAGTGCTGGGGAGACGTGACGCTCTGTCTTTCTCCTGTTCCACTTAAGGCAAGAGCACTGGCCACGCTGCAATGTTAAAAGGCAACAAATTTAAAACAAATAAAGGAAATATTTTTAAAGCAGCGTATAATGCACCTTTGGAATTCACTGCTGCAGGATATTATTGAGGGAAATAGTCGAGCAAGATTCAAGAAAGGATTAGACATTTATATGAACAGGAATAATATTGGCAGTTACACTAACTAGGTTAAAAAGTTACAAGGCATGTCCGTCCTGGGCTCCAGGGCATAACTGTGCACCAGCTGAAGTGGAGAAGGAATTTCCCTTGTTGGTGAAGCATTGTGTAATTGACCAGATGCATGAGTGCTCATAATTTTGCCGTCTCCTGTACCAGAGGCAGAGAGCACTGCTGGGGGAGACGTTTCTGGAAAAGCCGATGAGGCAGCCCAGTGACCTCTAAGCATGATAGAGAGCACTCGGGGTCTTCAGGGATTTCACCTGAGAGGTTGGGGTTTTTTTTTTCAATTTCAGAAAATGGAAATAGTAAAAATAATTTCTGACTTCCAGATGATGAAAACATTTCATGAGATGGAGTAGTCATGGGGTGGCCATAATCTCATGAGAGGTACCGGAATGAGAGCTGGCAGCCTACTTCCAGAGCCCTGTGCCTCAGAACCCTTGTGGAGATTCACACATGGGCATCATCTGTCCCACTCTAGTGTCATCTAAGACTGTTATGTCTTACACATGTGTGCTTATAACACACACATTGAACAAAGCTACCTTTCACGGGTGTACCACCAAACAGTTCTTACTCCTGTCTACTCACCCTAGGAAGCGTTTGTCCATCAGAGTCAGCTCTGCTGGCAGGTTCAGCCTCTGATTGCTGCTACAGAGTGTGTGATGTTCCTTCACTCTCCTGCTGAACACCCGATGGCAGTTTTTTAACTGGGAATCAAAATCCACAAAAACAAAGTATCATACTAAACAGAGTGCTGAAGGAACAGAGAGATAGCCCACCAGGTACAGGGCTTGCCACAAAGCCTCTCAGAGTTTGATCCTTAGAACCCACAGGAGACAACTGACTCCTCTGACCCACACATGAACAGTGTGGTGTGTGTGTGTGCATGTGTGTGTGTGTGTATGACATATAAATAAACAAATAGGAATTAAAATTCAAAAGCACGATATAATTGAAAATATTGAAACCTGCTGGGCAATTGTGCTACATGCCTTTAATCTCAGCATGTGGGAAGCAGAAGCAGGCAGATATCTGTGAGTTCAAGGCTAACCTGGTCTACAGAGTGAGTTCCCAGATAGTCAGGGATACACAGAAAAACCCTGTCTTGGGTGCAGGGGGAAGGGAAGCCTGAATTATTCATTATCATTACTCTACAGTCTTCAGTCATCCAAGGGTGAAATGCGTTCCAAAGAAACTGTGTCCATGTTTGGAGAATTAGGAAAAGGGCCCCCGCATCCCGCATTAATATCTCTCTCTCTCTCTCTCTCTCTCTCTCTCTCTCTCTCTCTCTCTCTCTCTCTCTCTCTTTCTCCCTCCCTCCCTCCCTCCCTCCCTCCCTCCTTACCTCCCTCCCTCCCTCCTTCCCTCCTTCCCTCCTTCCCTCCCTCCCTCCCTCCCTCTCCCTTTTCCTCTCCCTCTTCCTTTCACTTTCTCTCTCTGTTACATACCATACAAAGAGATAGATGGAGATAGATAGATAGATAGATAGATAGATAGATAGATAGATAGATAGATATAGATGAATATAGAGATAAAAGAAAACTTGCAGGCCCAATCTTAAAGTAAATAGATACACCAAAGATGTTATTGATGGATGTGTTTTTCTGGAGAAAGTGGTCACAAATTCCATTGATATTTTCAGATATGTTCTCACATAAAGCAAGTTTTTAAAACACTGTTCTGGGCCCCAGTCCAAGACAAAAGTCTCAAATGGCTCTAGATGCTTTCCTTTCTGTGACCTTTGGACCGTCTATGTAAGAGTTGTTTCTTCGGGCCTCCCTTAAAACTGGCAGAATATCAATTAGATTTTTAGGCTGAAGATTATTCACATAGTGCCTACATCTCATCCGGAGGAAAGCTTTAAGCCTTGCTGTTGATACCACTGGACATTTTGTTAATTAGTTACAGATAAGCCCTTATAAATTTGCCTGTTTTCCCTAGATATAAGCTTTTCTGTGTACTTTTTTTCACATGATTATTATATAATCTTATTATTATCAGATCACAGGTAGCCTCCAAACCATGTTTTTATAAGGATTTAAGGGCTGGGGACGTAGCTCAAGTTTACAAACTGCTTGTCTTATATGTATGAAGTCCTGAGTTCATGTCACATCTCTTCATAAATTGGTCATAAGAGTGCAGTGATGTACTCCTCGTACTTGGTGGGAGGCATTTAGGATATTCCTTGGCTACATACAGTTTAAGGGCAACTTAAGACATAAGAGACCCTGGAGTTGGAGAGGGAAGTGGGAGGGGAGGTATTTGTTAGTGTAGTTCTTAGGTTTTGCCAGCAGTCCCTACAGCACCATTATGGACACAGCCATGTCATTGTTCTTCATTGGGCAATGAGAATTAGGATTAATGAACCAAAGAAAGAGAGAGAGAAAGAAAGAAAGAAAGAAAGAAAGAAAGAAAGAAAGAAAGAAAGAAAGAAAGAAAGAAAGGAAGGAAGGAAGAAAGAGAGAGAGAGAGAAGAAGAGAGAGAAAGAGAAAAGAGGAATAAAGGAATAAGAAAGAAAAAAGTATCAACTTTTCAAAAAGGTGCACATTGGCTTCTGTGTGTCTCTTATCTATGGGGACAAACATGCAAATCAGAGATTCCAGTTCTCAGGTCCCAAGCCAGGCCGCCTGGAGCTCTCTCACAGCGATGTACCACCCCATCTGAGAAACAGCTCAGGAGTGCGAAGATGGTTCAGTGGTAAGAATGTTAGCTGAGCAAGCATAAGGACCTCAGTTCAGATCCCTCACTAAAAATCCCAGGTGTGGCCTTTCCAGGCTGTAATCCTAGCCCAGGGATGGGGGTGAGAGGCTCAGAAGGATCACTGGAGCTTAAGATGGAGAATATACAAGAGGACACCTAATAATGACTTTCTCCGGCTTCTGGCTAACAGGGTTCTCTCTGTGGCTCTCTGTCTCTGTGTGTGTGTCTTTGTCTCTCCTTCCCTCCCTCTCCCTCTTTCTCCCCTTCTCCCTCTCCACATCTCCTGATTCTACAGTTGCTAACCTTATCAGTTCTGACAGAACAAAGTCAAAGCAGGGAAGGACAGCTTCCTGATCTCCCAGTTTTCTGTCACATGTCCAGTGATCCTCATGAAAGTCAGAGAGTCCCCTGTTAACCAACAGTGCGGAGATGGAGTGAGCAGGGCCAGTCCTAGGAGAAAAGGAAATCTGATGAGACCAACACACAAATATTTTCCTGTGAGGTGGAAGAGGCACAGCCCATATGTGACCACAAGCCACAGAAGGTGAAACCTGATGAGGCCTGTCAGCCGAGCTCCGGAGGGATATTGTAGAGAAGCAGTTGGTTTGAGCAGCTTTTCAAGGGCCTTCACTAATACCCAGCTTTGGGGAGGGATGACAGAGAAAGAAAAGAAAGTGAAAGCACTTTCGTCTATGGTGCTAAATTTATTGCCTGGAAAAGGAGGAAAGCAAACAGCACAGAAATGGCAATCTTCTGACTTGTGGAAATCAAATAAGTGGTTTCTTTCCTCCTTTGTACACCAAGGCCAGCGTGTTCACACAAAGTCTACACAGGCGTTGTTCTAGAAGAAGCCCAGTATTCATGCTCATCTCCACAAAGATTCTGATTAGACTCTCTTCCAGGTCAATATGACTGAGACAGTTCATTTGGCAGCTCCTTTAGGTCCATCACCATGAAGGACTCTCAGGAAAGGCACAAGTCTTGCCTTTTTTTTTCTTTTTTCTTTCTTTTTCTTTTCTTTTGCAGATAATATGATAAATGTCCCAGAATCAGGTGCTGGCTAATAGCTTGTGAGAATTAGCTACTCCAACATGGCATATTATCCTGTTTCCACTGTTTCCCTTACACTTACCAAAAAATATGTCTAGAAGTATGCAACCTTGTCATGGGGAACAGAATAAGGACACCCGTGATTTACTCCCTAGGTAATCCTGTGCAAGTACATTCGCTTTCTAGACCTCCCCTCTGCACCTGAACCATTCAATGGAGATAATATCACCTACCTACTATCACTTTCTTAAAATCCATTTTTCTTACCATCTTCACGGCCCACAAGGTGATTTTTGGAAAAGTCAATCAAAAAAGGAAGGAAAGAAACATATTTTCTTCTCCAACAAGTAAAAGCAATTAAGTGTCAAGTATTAACTGTTCCTAGGAGTAAATTTTTTTAAATGGGTTAAAGGCTCGGCCATTATAGACCTCCAATATGTAATTTCTAAGATAGGGCCAGGTAATATATTCTTTTTAATTAAGTGGGAGATAAAATGCTAGAGCGACGTGTCCCTTCAGAAAGCACTTTTTTATCCATTTCCAGTGGCGTCCAATTGCATCATGCCTTTTAAGAGGAGCAATTTGTTTAACATCCCTTTATTTTTCAACCTTCAGATGCGAGAAGCATTGATTTATGATTTTGCTGGTTAAAGCACTGGTGTCTGAAGCAATAATGATTTCAATTACGGAACTTCCACCAGCGTGCGTTATTCTGATTTTTCTCTCCGTTCTCACCACATTTCCATTCGCTAAAGAAGGGGGAGTCTGAGTAGATGATGCAATTTTTAAAAGCCCCTGGACTAATTTAATATCAGGAAAGAATGTATGGACAGATGGACTGATGTTCCATTTTGGATTATGGGGATGTATTGTATTTTAATATGCTCTGACAAACTCTCAAACAGCTCCCTGGTGAGCCCCTACCTGATATCATTAGGGTTATTTAGTGCTTGGAGCCTGCCCAATCCCCACTGGAGCCGCAGTGAACTCACAGGAACCTGCACACTCCATTCACTCCACGTCTAGGGTCACGCTTTCTCTTTATGCTGGGCCGGAAGAAACGATTAAGCTCATCTTTAGATAGTCAGTGCCACACAACCGACACTGTCTTCCAATCCTGAGGGCCCAGCTGCTCAGCACTTCACTACTCAAAATAAATAAATAAACAATTACTTATTTTTCACTACCCTAAAAAATTAATTACTTAATTTTTAAAAATATTGAGAAAATTAACTTTTAAGAAAGAAAGTTTTACTTTGGCTTACAGTTACAGTGGTATCTGTCCGCCACGATGTGATCTCATTGCTCCGTGCTTTGGATGACAGACGACATCATACTTGGAAGATGTGGCAGAGGAAAAAACCACATATGGCACCTGAAAACAAAGAAAAATGGAGTGTCTGAATATCCCCTTCCAAGGCAAGCCTCCAAATGACCTAACTTCCTCCCAGTAGATCCAACGTCTTAAGTGCACCACCACTTCTCAAAAACTACATCAGCTGAAGGACAAACGTTCTGCAACATGGGCCCTAGGAGGACACTCCAGATTCAAACCACGGCAGAGCAAGGCATAGTCCCATATGCAAGGCTGGTAAGCATGACACTGAAGCTAGCCTGAGGCCATGAACAAGGGAATGGCCCCATGCATGAATGCAGCTTGTGACCTAATGGCGGGGATATAATGAAGACGTTCTAAGGACACTTGTTACTACTCATTTAGCTATCAAGCTCTTGATGCAAAGCACCCTCAAGAAGCTGAAATTTCTTCAGGAATCTTATTCAGGGAAGAGGAAAAGGCTCTTAGCCTTGTGTCAACCAGACAAGCAGCATGTCTCCTCAGAAGAGATTTCAGCTTTGCAGACCATCTTATGGAAGGAACTGGAGCCAAAATGTTGGTCATGAACAGGGCCACATCTTGACCAGGACTGATTTGTCACACACAGCTCCTGCCTTTTGTCTAAACCTAAATCTCATGACAGAACTTCAGAGATGGACTTGGGCATGTCACCTCTTTGTTCTTCTCCTAGTGTGACCTCAAACAAATCACTTTTTAATTGCATTTCCCTACTAAATTGTCTCTTTAATTGGCCAATTGAGGTGAGGTGGTTGATATTGGTTTGCTAGGGATTCTAGGAGCTGGTATATGACCCTAACTCCATCAGTGCAGCCAGTCAGATGTTTAAAGACAGAGTCTCACATTAAAGCCCACACTAGCTTCAAACTATGTAACCTTGGCTGGCCTCAATCTCCTAATCTTCCTGCCTCAGCCTCCCTAGTGCTGAGATTACAGGCATGCACTGTTATTCCTAGTCTCCCTTTCACACTTATTAAAGGTGTCATCCAGTGACGAAGTGTTGTATAATTAGAGCAGCTACTCCTGTGCCCCAGGCAAGTGTCATCACAGGGGTTCATGAATCATGGGACCACACCTTCAGATATTTCGAAGACAACAAGAAATTTATAGTGTTATACTATTAAAGTTTCTCTGGTCTTCAGCATTAGATCCACACTTACCAAATGCAGCCTGCTTCTGCATGCTTCCCTGTCGGTGCACAGGTGGTAGACTTGTCCAGTTATTGGAAGGATGTGCACAACAAGACATCACATTCTGTAACTCTGTCAAAAATTAACTACTCAGAGCAGAAGCAAGAGCTCCGTGTGTATGAGCACTTGGTTCACAAGCATGGGGAACTACAGCCCCAATGCTGTGTGTGTGTGTGTGTGTGTGTGTGTGTGTGTGTGTGTGTGGAGAGAGAGAGAGAGAGAGAGAGAGAGAGAGAGGATGAGGATTGATGACTGTCAGCCTAGCCCCATGTTCAGTGAGAGACCCTGTCTCAATAGATAGAACATGACACTCAATGTCCTCCTTTGGCCTCTGCATCTGCGCACACATGGGCACATATACCATGCATGCATACACCACACACACACACACACACACACACACACACACACTAAGTATTTTTAGTCTGCTGTTTCAAAAACAGTTAAGGAGATTGTTACTTACCAAGAAACAGGTGCTAGACATTGGGAATGTAAAATAAAATACAATGCCCATTTTTCACCTTCAAGAGGCTAGCACTTATGTCTATATGAATTATGAAGGATCTCAGATTTACAAAAATTAAAAAGAAGTGCCACCTAACATTGAAGCCAAATCTATCACATTTATTTTTAGGCAGGAACCTCCTTTGTTACCCTTCAAGTAAATTAGTTTGTTCCTATGCTTAGATTTGAAACTTCATTTTAATTTGAGAACTGGTCCTATGACTGCCAAAGTCTGTGTAGGACACCCTCCCATTAATGTCTTCAATAACACCTGGAAGGCAAAGTTGCAGCCATACCATAATGAAGTTTTTCTTCATCAAATCAATGCTACAGATTTCTTAATTAAGCACTGGTATTACTAGGCCTTCCCATGATTTAAACCTAGTTCTTAATCTCAGTGCTTCTATGCTGCTATAGTTTTTATGGGAGCTGGCCAGCCAATGCTGTACCCATTAATCTTTCTGGGAAAAAAAATCATCTTAATAATTCTCTTTTTCAATTGAAGGAACAGAAGCCCCAAGACACAAATAAAAGCATTCAAGGTCTAGCCAATGAGTTTGTAACTTAGAGCTTGAAATATTATATCCAAAATTGCTTCTTGGAAGAAACTCATATCACAGTTAAGATTCGTTCTCGTTAAACTTTATGATTATTTCTCAGAGTCTTCCTTGAAATGCCTCAAAGTACTTCCCCTGAATTGCACATGGGGTCCCTGTTGTTGTGGTTGTTTCCTTGCGAATCTATTCATTACCTCCTCTGAGGACTTCTGAGGACAACCCCTCAAACTATGCTACCATGTGTAGGCATTTGGAAGGGGTCAATCCACGCCAGTGGTACACTCAGGTGGGCTTCCTCATTCGAACGCAACATTTCATTCATCCTCTATCTTAACAACAGTCAATGACAAGAGATCTCTTTTTCTTTTCCATACCTTGCCAGCAACACCTTGGAACATAGCTCCCTATCCTTACTCTTCCTAAAGCCCATCTCCATCACAACCTTATAAATTTCTCCCCAGGCCCATCAGTCAGTCATCAGTTACATATCCTACCTGCTCAAGGTGCTGGAGATTGAGTGCTGGGGAGAGCATCTAAGTCTTTTGACTTGATTTACATTGATGATCATTCTCATAGGACCACAGGCTTCCGTAAAAGTAAGTTTCTTTGGCCATTCTTCTTCAGAGTTCTCATGTGGAAAAGAGAAGGGAAAAGATTGAGAAAGAAATGACTTGCCCAGGCGTACAGCTCTCCCCTGTCATTTGTGGTCCTGTGTTCTTTACCTCTTCTCTCCCAGCCATTACTTACAACATTTCTTATCTTGGTTAGGTTTCTATCTCTGAGATAAAACACTATGACCAGAACAACTTGAGGAGGAAAAGGGTTATATGGTTTACATGCCCCAGTCACAGTTCATCACCGACAATTCTGAGCAGGAACTCAAGGCAGGAACCTGGAGGCAGGAACTGAAGCAGAGGGTATGGAGGAGAACTGCGTACTTGCTAGCTGCTTTACCTGCATGTATGTATATGCACCACGTGTATGTACCACGGATATGCCTGGTGTCTGACGAACTCAGTAGAGGCCACTAATGCTCTAAAGCTGTGAGCTACCATATGAGTGATAGAAATTGAACCTGGGTCCTTCCTCTGCAAAAGCAACAACTTCACTAAACTACCGAGCCCCTCGGGTTGTGTTTTATACAGCCTAGGACCACTTGCCTACAGGAGACACAATTCACATTGGACTGGGCCCTTCAACATCAATCATTCATCAAGAAAATGCCCTACAGGCTTGCCAGCAAGCAAATAAGAGGGAAGCGTTATTTCAAGTGAAGTTTCTTTTTCCATGATGACCATAGCTTGTGTCAAGCTAACAAATATCTAGTCGGTACAGTTCTTAAAGTAGAATTTTACTTTGGCTCTATCTTCAGCACAGATTTACTTCAGGTTGGACCTATATAACTTAAAATCCAAAGTCCGAACTGCTCCAAATCCCAAAAACATTTTGAGCGCTGATGTGATGCCACAGGTGAAAATCCTACGCTTAATTTCATGTGGCAAGTCACAAACAAAACACAGCTGTGGTAAATATGTGGTCCAAGGTATACAGCAAACAAACCCAGCTCCCTTTAGACTCCGGTCTCATCCCAAACCCAGCTCATTATGTGTGCACAAGTATTCCAAAACAGAAATAAAACATGAGTCAGTTTTCATAGCCAGCATGTCACATAAAGACTGCTCGGCCACTGTAAAGCCTTAATGAAAGCTTGTTTTGTGTGGATTCCTCATCATCACCAGAGACTGAACAGCAAACCATAAGCATCTGATATAGACCCCATCATCTGTAAAGGATTCTTTCCCATGAGCCACTACACAGAGCAACCAGAGCCAGAGGCAACAAATGTACTCATCTGAGATCCTTGCCATCCAGAGAGCTGATCCAGCTAGCTCCCACTACAGGTAGACCTAGAATGCATGATATTAAATCTGAAGATGATTTTGATCTAATTCAGAATGTGAGTAACGGGAGGGCATAATCTATTGCACACAGGAAAATATTTCCTGAGTTATCCTTCAGGTAAGTTTGTCAATGTAGCCTGCTTGAAAGCTCCATTTATATTTAAGGACTAATCCTGTAAATATCAAAACTCACAGTGGGTACATTCCCATGAAAACCTCTAAATAGCAGTGGGCAGTTTTTGTCCTGGGCCCCAGAAGTGAGACACAGATGCATAAAATTGGGTGAGTTCAGGGAGTTGATATATGGGGTTGGAGATTTAGCTCAGTGGTAGAACGCTTGCCTAGTAAGCACAAGTCCTCAGTTCTGGAAAAAAAACAAAAACAAAAATAAAACAAGGAGCTGATGTATTGTACCAATGTCTCTGCAGACTTTAGAGTTTACGTAGGCTATATGTTCATACATTTATTCACAGATAATACACTTAAAATACTAGCTACGGTCTATATGTATTTTCAATACCTTTGTAGACCAATAGTGATCAGTAATATGAGCAGAGGCTATAAGTAGTAACCAAACCCATTAAAGAAGAAGTTAGGGGTTTTTTTGGGTTGTTTTGTTTTGCTTTTTTTTTATGTGGTCTTCCGGGAAACTGCCTCTGGACATAACTACAGAAAATTAACACAATAAGTAAAGCATTATAGAACAGCTATTAACTGATTACACTAATAAAAACCAAATGGGGGCCTCGAGTCTACCCCTCAGGGAAAGCAGGACAGCTAAAATAAACAAGGTGAAATATGGAGCAAAGGATAATTAATTTTAAACAATAATAATACAGTTACCTCCCACCATGGTTTTTTTTTTTAAAGAAGATTTCGATCTTTGTGTAGGGAAAAACAGAAAAAAAGGTCATTCCTTTCTCCTTAGGGTCTAACTTTCATACTAATAGGGGTGTTCCCCTGGGCTAACAAATGGGAGAAAGTAAGGTGTGCTGGCAAGTTTCTTAAACTCTAGGCACATGGGCACAATGATTTAATAGACCCCCATTATCAAAATGTCT